TTGGTCCCCACAACGTAGTATATGTCAGGAAAATCGTCCCCACAAGGTATTACAAACAAACGCACTCACACACACGACTAGAAAAGAAGAGGATGCACTCAGAAACATGAAACACACAGATTCAGAATAACTGTAACTCTTGTGATCAGTCTCGCAGCTTTTCAGTGCTTCCGCTTATGGATGGCACAGAAACCTGGACCCGAAGGAAAACCTGGACCTCAGGATGCCGGTCAGCTCAGGTCAGCTCATTGCAAACTCTTTAATCTCCACACCCTGGGACATGATAGGTTCAATAATAGGACCTGCTTTCTGTTTGGACAGGATGCAGCGAGGATCTCCTCGGCTCGGTGCTGAACTTCCTGCACAGCATGGCAGTGCTGCGTGTGACAGAAGCTGAGTACACTCTGCTTACCGCCACGGCTCTGCTCTGCTCAGGTCAGAAATGTCCAGTTAGTGAAACTCTGCCTGCAATTGTTCTGGTTAACACAAAGTCTCTGAATGGACCTCTCATTGTGACAAATGGTCTCATTTAGTTTATGCAAATCCCTGCAGCTCCGGCTGCATGTTTAGAGTTGTTTTCCAGTCTGTTTCAACCTCTTAAATTTTAATGCCTTAATGTGTTTTCTACAGATTCTTGCTCTTGAGCTGTGGATCTCTGCAGCTCCTCCAGAGTTATCGTAGCCCTTTTGGCTGCTTCTCTGATTAGTGTTCCCTTCTTTTTATTTTCTGATAATGGATAGAAGATTGTTTTATAGCAACTCTAGAGCAGCTGTGTATCAAACGTAGACTCTGTTGTTAATTAGACAACTTCTTGTAGGGAATTTGTAGCTTCTTAACTACATTGCAAACTGTCCGACACATCAAACAGGCTGCAACTCTCAACATTTTCCAGGCTTAAAACAGACAGGCACTTGGTTGCTTTTAAAATAGCATTAGTTGATTATTTCTTTTTAAATCTTTAGGGTTTTTTTTTGTTGCTGTCTTTGTTTGTTTTCAAGGTATTTTTGTGTTTTGTTGCCCTTATTCATGCAGCCAAAAATGCAGATGTTCTCATAAACAGACTTCATAAATCAACATGAAGTCAAGTAAATGAAACCACATTTTTTAGGTTTTAACTTGTATAAAAAAAAGTTTTCTTTTCACAGTTATGAGGCACTTTGCATTGGTCTGTCACTAAACAGCCTGAGTTTTGTCTGTTTGACAAGACAAACTGTGAAAAAGGTTATGGATGCTTTGAACATATGATTTCTTTTTGTTTTTTGTGCAGATCGAGCGTCCCTGCAGGCGGTCAGTGGTGTGGAGAAAATGCAGGAGCTGATCCTGGACCTGCTGTCCAGGGTGTGTGGGGCCCAGACCGGAGCAACAGGTCGCAGAGGGCCGCAGCGTTTCGGCCGCCTGCTGGGCAGACTGACGGAGCTGCGCACCCTCCATCACAACTACCTCCTCCTGACAGGACATCAGCATGCACACTGATGCAGACACCGTCTTCATGTGTGAAGACATGAAAAAGAACATCTCTCTGTCTTTTTGAGATCCGAGAAATGGACCAACAAATGACTTTTTTGGGGGGTTTTTCATCCGACTTGCCCTTTGGTCACTAGCTTCAGAGGTTTTAGATTGTTGTAAACAATCTTTTTTTAATATGTGTTGGAAGCTGTTGCAATAAACTCTATCAGGACAGTTTGTTTTATTGAACAGTTTTAAAATAAAGTGTTGCCTCTACATTTGTAAAAGTTTAACTATTAAATAAAAATTAAGAAAGAAAATTATGCAAATGACCAGCCACTTCAAACATTCAATATTCAGAGGTGAGTGAATCTTCTTCAGTGTAGACAGAGCATCTGAGTAGCAATATTTGAGGAACAGTTCCAACCCTTAAACTGAAGACTGAAAAAATTAAAAACCAAGCGGCAATAAATTGAGTTGAATCAGCTAAAGCAACTAAAAAAAAACAAAAAAGTAAAATTGTAAGTTTAATAAAATGTAAATTTGTCAGTTATTCTTTATACTTAGCTTTTCATTTAAAGCTACAAAACTGCATAGAATGAAGTTGCATCAATGTACAATTGTGAGATGAATCAACGTTAAATCAGCTCAATAAAAACGTAAAATAGTGAATTCAATCAACTTAATGACATAAAAAGCAAGATAAATAAAATAGGAAATCCACCAGCTGATTATGAATTCTTTTGCAGGCTTGTGGGAACAAACCAGTATACTCAGGCCTCACCAGTTCCATTCATTATGGGGTTTGTGGTTTTGTTAATTACCCAAATTCCTCAGCCAAAGCTGAGGAATTTGGGTAATTGTAACCTACCCAACCTGTAACCTCAAACAGATGAATGTTTTTTTTTTTTCCATCATAAAATTGTCTGAACAGTGTGCATTCTCAGACCTTATAGGAATCTCTGGGTTTAATTTGAATTTGCTAACATAAAACTGATAGTTTTTTTTTATAGTTATACCACAACTGTTAGCCTGAGCCTGAGACATAAAACAAAGTATATGACAGATGACTAGTGAAAAAAATCCACAGGACTCCAGATACATAAACATTTTTTTAATAGAATATTTTCCAAAATGTGGAAACTGGTTAAGAATTTTGGTGAGCTGGTAAAATATAAACATTAGCGATAAGCTTATCAGGGTGAACTTTTCACTGGATGAAATTGGGCTCTAGGAAATAAATAGAAACATTGAGTGGGTCAAAGTCAAAAGCTTGTGCTTGGTATAGAAAAAAAACAAATCAGCAAAAATCTGTTAAAATACTATCTGCTTTTCAATTAAAAAAACCTCACTCCATTTTTTTTCTTAAATAAGATCTCTCAATTTAATCAATATAACTTTATTTCTATAGTTTTTGTCTTCCATAAATAAATTATTTCTCTGTATCAAAAGAGATTTCAAATATAAAGAGCATCGGCTCATTTTGTCGAATGCCAAGATTACACAACAATGCAAAACACTAACTATAGTTAATTTACAGTAAAGACAAATATCCATACACTGCAGGAATTATTTCATGGCGAGTCTCGCCTCGCCCTTCAGAAGGCTGATTGAAGTACGCATTTAAAAACATTAAATTAGAATGAGCTTGATAACGCAAAGTCGTATGTACAAAAACTACCAGTAAAATATACATGAGTCTTTTTGTAAAAAGTTTAAAACATAGAAAATCTATTGTATAAAAGAAGGCAGTGATGTGTTTATCGGTCTCCGGCAGCTCTTTTTAAATCTCTTTCCTAATGGCTTGATCCCTCAGCAGCAGGATTAGCAGAACCTCAGGCTCTTTTACATTTGATTCCTGATATCCAGCTGGAGTTGAGCACACACACACCTCTGAATGTCCCTGAAAGAGGGGGAATTAACGCTTACTGCAGCAACGTGAGGCTTAATGTAACTTCATTTACACATCATCTCCCTAATGACACGAAGCAGGTTCTGTCAGACACCGGCGGCTCAGTCTGGGACCCGGCAGCTGCTCCGCGGCGTCTACAGGTAGCTGGAGGTGACGAAGCAGTGGCTGTGGCTGACTCGGCTCTGGTGGATCATGGCGCGGTCGTACGCCACCTGGACGGACTTGCGGATGCTGGACTTGCGACCCTCCATGATGCGCAGCTTGTCCGCCGTGTCGTCGACGCCCAGGTGTGTCAATTTGTCGCGGGGGAGCCACTGCCTGAAACACCAGAGACAGAGTTCGGACCGTGAAGGAGTTTTTTTTTTTTTAAAAAGGAGTAATCATCAGAACAAAGATAACTTCACCTTTATTTGGTCAAAATACATGTGGTTTTTATGTGTATTTTATTAAAGAAGCACATCTTTCTTACAGACGTCACTTTAGAAATGAACAACAAGCACTAATTACTCTGGAATCTACTCAAACTCCTCGATCTTTTTAACGTTCTTACAATAAAACCACATTTCAACTCATCAGTTCACAACAAATGGAATCTCAAGGAACTTTAGAAAAATATCCATTTATATAGAGAAATAGTCTGTTAGTACAATTCAACCCAATCAATGTAGACTGATTCAAGGTCAATTACATGTATGTCATTTTGACTCTCATGCTTAAATTTGCTCCAATAGGATTTCATGTAATAAACCAACATTAAAAAAAAACACTGTGATGTGTTTGTCTGTGAATGATTTCCGATTATAAATACAGAAACATCAACAACAGTCATAATAGCAACAATAATATTAATGATAAAATAATATGCAGAGCAAGCAGCCTATATCTTCTTTGATGGGGGGGGGGGGGGGGGGGGGGGGGGGGGGGTGGGAAAGGGGGGGGGGGGGGCGGGG